CCCATATTTTAATACTTGTTCATGACCCCTAGTGATGCTTTTACTTCCTGTTTGTGCAGAATTTTATAAACTTTTACCATTAGAAAGTATTTTTTAAGTTTGGGTTACTGCAATTTTAACAAGGAGCTTAAAGATAGATTTTTTAAAAATAGAGTTAACAAAAAAGAAAACAATAAAGAACCATGAAAATTCACTGGGCTTTGCCAACAGCTCACTTCCTCGAAGTGAGGTCCTTGCGCAACAGGCGGTGAGGCGGAACCACTGAGCTTCCCCCCCCCCCGCCCCCGGCGAAAGTCCTATTAACTATTATTAATGATCAGGCCGGAGATTCAGTTCAGTGGTACCGCCGCCTGCTGCGCAAGCGCAAGGACCCCACTTCCATCCCCGGGACCACAAAAACATTTTTCTTTACTATTATTATTATTATTATTATTATTATTATTATTATTATTATTTGTTTTTATGATTCTTCTTCTTCTTCTTCTTCTTCTTCTTCTTCTTCTTCTTCTTCTTCTTCTTCTTCTTCTTCTTCTTCCTTTCTTTTTCCTTTTTCTTTTGGTCTCTGGGATCGAACCGAGGTCCTTGCGCAGCAGGCGGTCAAACCACTGAGCTGGATCCCAGGCCCAGGCCGGCCCTGTTTCTTCTTCTGCCTACCGGGCAGGGACCTCGGATCCCAGGTCCCCCTCTTCAAAACTTGTTTGAAAACTTGTTTCGGGGGGCTGGGGTGGTACCGAGGATGGAACTCGGGACCTTGTGCTTTCCAGGCAGGTGTGGGGCCAATGAGCTAAATCCCCGGCCCTCGTTTGTATTTCTCTAAGAGCTCTCTTCTTTGCTGCTTTCTTGTGGCGGCGGCGGCGGCGGCGGCGTTTTTAATTCAAGTGGGGAGTCTCCTGCGAGTTGTCGGTAAACTTTGCTGTCAAGCCAGGGGCCTGTCGTCGGTAGGTGGTGGTGCTATTAGCACATCTCCAGGGTCTCTCCGTGTTTGTGTGTGTGTGTGTAAAAGGGAGGGGTGTCGTGTCCTTTTCTTTTTTTCTTTTTTTTTTGCTCCGTGCCGGGAATGGAACTCCAGGCGGAGCCTCTCTCCGGCTTGCCAGGAGGCGCTGTGTGTTTCTTTTCTTTCCTTGATTTC